CTACTGGAGGATTGAAAAGTAGGCACCGGTATGGGACGGTGGCATACTAAGGATGGGTTTGGTTTTTAAAACAATACCATTACCCACCTACGAATAAGGATGGGATTAACTAAAAGTTAAGTCCCGTATGTACTGTTATGGTGCCTCGGTATGAGCTTGAGCCTCAGGACCGATGGGTAGGGAGCGTATATGCATCGGGATGTGTAATTGGCTACGATGGTTGGAGGTGTACCCTGTTTAGGTATAGGTACATATGCCCACTTCGTATGCGTTTTAGCATGTTACCTCTATTCAGGTTGAGACCGACCTGTAGTCCAGTGAGAGTCCTTTAGTGTGACTATATATATATTTACGGACTATTAGCTATTATTGAATTGTTTAGGATGTACATGCGTATCGGGCCTCTGTTTGGATTGTAGTAGTATAGAACTTGTGCGTGGCCCTGACCCACTTCTATTTTTCAGGTACACGACAGTTCCAGGCTTAGACGTGTTCGTGCTGAGCAGAGGTCTCTATTCACTCTTCCGACGATATAGGGCTCTCTCTATAGTTTTATTTCTGGACGTTTTTTACTTTTGTTCTATCTTCCGTTTGGATGTTTAATAGGGGTCCACTAGAGATGGATTCCCAAGTTGTAAACTGATGGAGTTTTGGAGTTTGGGTTTGATGGATTTTAATAGTTATAATATTTTGCGGATTCTATTTTTAGTTCCTTCCAGCTTTAATTTCATTTCTTAATTTATTTTGTATTCCGTGTTCATTATAAAATATTAATTGTTTGATATTCCCTCGGGTTTGGGCTTGGGCCTGATCAACCCGTGTCTCGGATCCGAGGGGTATCACAGTTATGCTTCAGGATCTCCCAGCAACTTTCTAACTTAAATTCACCACTTGTTTGGCTACGAAACAGGTCTTTAGCTGCTATCATCTACACGAAGAAAATAACAAAAAATTAAAAGCCGACTATTTAAAATATTTACGAGTTATATTTAAACAATAAATAACTCACCATATCATCATTGCTGAAGCCGCTGGGACGATTCATTTCTATGGTAGTCATGCAGCCGAAAAATTTGCTGATTTTTTGTTGGATCACCGACCAACGATTAATCAAACCTCCATCATTTCGCTCAGTTGGAACACCAATATGTTGTTTATATTGTTCCAGAATTCGCTCACATAACTTCTGCTTACTTTGGTCTGCCCCCGTAATCGCATCAGAGGTAATGGACTACCACGCCCAACATAAAGCTTCATCTTCAGCCTTGGTCCAATTATTATGTCGGATAGCCGGTTGTTTTGACGGGGTTTTTGAGTTACTTGATTGTGGAACACTAGTACCACAATATTGATGAGAAGTTTGAGATGGTTAATAAGAAGGTTGGGATGGTTGATGAGAAGGAAATTGATAATCTCCTCCATAATAATTGATATTCTCTTCGGGAAATGACAAAAACTCATCGTTTTGATGGGTTGAATTTGGTGTTGTAATAATATGGATGTCGAGGATCCATGGAATCGAAATGACTTTGAGAATAATAGCTAAGATTGAGAAAATAGAAGAAGAAATAAATTGAATGGTAGATAATAGAGATGTGATGAGCGATGGTAAGAGTTGGGGTATTTATAGAGATTTTAAAAATTTTAATTTAATTTTTTTTTTTAATAAAGTTAAAAAATTTGAATTTTTAAACTTTTTTTTAAAAATTATAGCCGTTAAGGCACTGTTTGGTACTGTAGAAACAGTGCCTTAACGGCCAAATACACTATTTGTCCTACACATTTAAAATTTAAAGCAAAAAAATTTAATAAAAAACCAAATTTTAAGGGAAAAAACAAAAAAAAAAAAAAAAAAAAAAAAAAGGTAAAATTTGAATTTTTAAACTTTTTTTAAAAATTATAGCCGTTAAGGCACTGTTTGGTACTGTAGAAACAGTGCTTTAACGGCCAAATACACTATTTGGCCTACACATTTAAAATTTAAAGCAAAAAAATTTAATAAAAAACCAAATTTTAAGGGAAAAAAAAAAAAAAAAAAAAGGTAAAATTTGAATTTTTAAACTTTTTTTTAAAATTATAGCTGTTAAGGCACTATTTGGTACTGTAGAAATAGTGCCTTAACGGCCAAATACACTATTTGGCCTACACATTTAAAATTTAAAGCAAAATTTTTTTTTTTAAAAAAATAATTTTTAAGGGAAAAAACAAACAAACAAAAAAAAAATAGGTTTTTAAATTTATTTTTGGCCCAAAATTTTTTTTTTTGGACAAACAATGCCTAAACAATATATTTTTTTATTTAATGAATTTTATTTTATTTTTATTTATTTTTTTCCCAAAAAAAAAGAGCTCTAAATAACCTATTATTAGGTTTTTTTTATAAAAAAAAAAACTGCCAAACAGTGCCTTAAGCGCACTGTTACAACAACTACCACAAAAAGACAAAAACAAAGCAGTAAAACGGCGCCATTTTGGAGCCAAAAAAAATAAAATAAAATAAAATAAATAATACCCCAATCGCGGGCCGGCTCGCTGATTACCGCGAGCCAACCCGCGATCGCTATTGGGCCCCATGTGTTTTAGCTAGCCCGCTGAAGAGCCTACAGTGCAAATGCTCGCCGGATTGGGCTTTAAAGAGCCCCGCTGCGGATGCTCTAAGAATGCTTTCAGGTTGTTGCTAGCTATAGATTCATTAAGTAATTCGGTTTCAAAAAGTCGATGGTTTTTGCTTGATCCCAAAAAAGAAATACAACTTTAGAAATCATTTTTTTTTTTTTTTTTTTTTTTTTACGTAGTATTGAAGTGTCAAAAGCCTCAATATATATATTCCACGAGATCCAACATGTCTTTGGACTTAAAGAGATGCCAGCAATCCTATTCCATGAGCATAAATTGGGAGGCTAAACCACCAACCGTTTTAGGAAGGTAGCAGTTTTCCCATGCACAGCGACAATTATAGAGAAAATTAATGTAATTATGATAAACTTTAGAGGAAATTTTCCATTTATCCATTCATGTAAAAAAACAGAGTCCGCTACGTACAAGTAAATGAGGGTAGTAATAAGATTAAATGTTTACTATTTGATTAGTTAGTAACCGTTGTATTTACTATTTTTCTACTTTTAGGAAAAATTTCTATAATTGGCTTACTCCTATTACAGACCAACAAAATTAATAAATCCCATTCGGTGAAGGCAAAATATAAAAAAACGCATTTTAGTTCTATTAAGAATCCTTACTTCCTTAATTACACATTATTAGATTTGAAATAGGATTAATTGGTTAACAAGTAAGACACTCACATATATATCCAATTAGATTTCTAATAGGATTTGATTGATTGCTTAACAAGAAAGTCCCTATTTCAAAATATATATTTAGTACTGTGATCACAATTAGCCATCATCATTCTTTCCCTTCTCTCACTTTCTCCATATATATTAAAGTTCTCTTTCTAAAAATGGTGATTCCCGTTAACACACATGATGTTCCTACCATGAAGTTGAAATTGAAGATAAAGATGAAGATGATGAAGAAGGAAAATGTTCGATACTTGGCTACATACCCTCTTTTTGGTGATTTGATGGCGGCAAGTCTTGTTGAAAGAAGTTCGAAATCTTGAACTAGAGAACAAAGTTGTGGTACGAAGATGCAAAAGAGACTTCCATGAATGTTTGGGTCATATACAACATGATATATATAACATACTTGAAGACGGTGAATGTTCAAAAACCTACCATCAATGTTGTTTTGATCATCGTCATCATTGTGGCCATCAACCACAAGAAGAAGAAGAAGAAGAAGAAGTAGCAGTGCAGGAAAAGCAGCAGGAAAAGAAGAAGAAGAAGAAGAAGAAGGCAGTGATGAAGAAGAATGTATTGCCTCCTCCTGATCATGACTACTCACAAGTGCCTCCGGATTTGCTAGAAAACTTCAAGAATCGAATCCGACAACTCAAGGGTTCGAAGCCAATGTTTGTGGCATAGAAGAGGCTTACCAAAACCGACATGGACTCGAGGCAGGCACGTTTGTTGTTGCCATTCAGTCTCACCAAGAATCCTGAGTTCCTCACACCGGAAGAGAAACACTTTCTCAACTCCAAATCCGCTGAATCTAAATGCAATGGAAAGTTGCCCGGAATACGGGTGCCTCTGATCGAACCCTCCGGTGAGGAGCAATGTTACTTCGACAATCAAGAGGTGGGACATGCCCAAAAGAGAAGTGGGCAGAGTCAACTCATCGTACTCGTTGGTCTCCGGTTGGAACTCCGTTGTGTCAAGGAATATGCTTCAAGTAGATACGGTGTTGCAAGTATGGTCTTTCCGAGTTGAGTCCGAATTGTGGTTTGCTTTTGTCAAACTGAGACAAAATTAATCTAGTACTAGATCATTCATGTAAGCATATTTCAATATTATTGAAACCATAGATTCTGCGGACACCATCTTTGTATGATTTCACTTGTGTTATAAGTCCTCAAATTCACTCTGGTTATACAAAAAAGGCTCAATTCCACTTCTTCTCAGACATAATAACAATCTGAATCTTGAAAATTACTACAGCAAATATATGACCAAATCCAATTGCCCAATTTTCAGCAAAAACCCCATTATTAGAACTAAAAAAATTACTCTGCTTTAATTGAAAACTCTCGATAAAACTATGAACTGGGATTGAAAATCAGAACTAGGGTAATAAATTAAATTACCGAACTGTGACGCACCTGTTGTTGTCCAGTGAGCCTTTTTTCTGCAACTCGTGGATCGGCCGAAATACAGAAATTTGTCATTGTAGGGAGGGACAATATGGGAGAAGAACGGGTAGGAACTCGGCTGAAAGAAGACACGGTGTTACAAGTATGGTCGTTATGAGTTGAGTCCGAATTTGACATTCCATATAATAATAGAGACGTTTATTTTGCACTTTACCGTTCATATAAAATATATAATACCATTCCTTACATGCCTCTTTATCTTCTCTAATTCCATCTCAGACCAAATGTGTTTACAGCTTAAGTCATAATATAGACTATAGTAGTACACAGCCAGAATACCCAGTTTGTATTTCCAAGAAATAACCTTTTTTTCTTTCAATTTCAAAAGAACCAATGCCATGACTGGTTCATTACAAGCTCTTGACAATAAATCAACACAATATTACAGTGGCAACAAAAAACAAGCTATAGTTTGGAACAGCTGTCCTTGTAAAGAGCCAACATGAACACTTATGGATGAGAGAATACAATTTAACGAAGATAAGAAAAAATAAAATAAGACAAAGAGACCCTTTATATGTGTTTTCTTCTTTATTTACAGAAAGGTAAAGGTAAATGTTGTAGCTTACCTCAACAAAATGATCTTCGAAAGAACAAACAGTTGATGCCACATTGACCTGCTGAAGCAGATTTTGTGGTGTCCGAAGTAAACGGATCGATCCGCACCCACAGAAGGGAGAATATAGAAGCAAGGAGTATGGACCAGACAATGACAATGGTAGGAGTACGATTTTGCCGAACCAACAAACCTTTGAGAAAGGGATACAGGTGAACGATAACCCATATGGCGAAGAAGAGGTTGCCGAAAAGAGGGCCCCAAGACTGATACCCGCTGTGAAAAGGGTAGACTGAAATATTTATTATTATATTTATTTTACATGTCCATAAAAATAGGATCAATATATGAAATGTGACACCGGCCAAACAGATTAAAGGATCAAACATTGGTGGAGCAGCTCTCTACAACGCAGTTTTTTGGCCTTCCCATTCTTGCTACCATGTCCATTCTCTTGAGCAATCTTCCTTTGCCTTCTACAATAATGAAAAAGTGAATTAGTGCATATATATTTTCAAATAAAGGAGAAGAGACATGTAAGTTTAGAAAATTAACAAAATTAGTCACCCATAAGCACGCAAAAAACAACAAATTTTCCCAACTGTTTTGCTTCCTAATATCATATGTAGGAATATAGCATACGAAAAACGATACAATTAAACCACTCAAACTACTAAACACAGAAACAGAGAAACAAGCAAATCAAGCTAACTGCAGCACTATAAATCAAACAATGCACAAAAAAAAAAAAAAAAAAAAAAAAGAAGAAAAAAAAAATGCAAACCACTGATCAGCTAATGGTACCAAGTTTTTTATTTTTCTTTTGTTTTTAAAACTAACTTGTTCAAGTTTGTATTTTCTTGAATTTATTGGTCCTTACTTGGCCAACATGACTTTGAAGAACTCCTCATAGCTGATCCGTTTATCACCATCGCCTTCAGCTTCATGAATCATCTCATTAACTTCCTCATCTGTCAGCTTCTCACCAAGACTCGTCATAACATGGCGGAGTTCATCTGCAGTTATGAAGCCACTCTCATCCTTGTCAAAAACCAGGAAAGCTTCCCTGAGGTCGCCTTCAGTTTTAGGGTCTGCCTTCAACCTCCGAGCCATTAGGTCAAGGAATTCTTTGCGATCAATTGTCCCACTGCCATCTGCATCATCAACCTCATTGATCATATCCTGAAGCTCTGCCTCTGTTGGGTTTCGCCCCAATGCCCTCATCACTGTACCAATCTCATTGGTAGTGATCCTACCTGCATATATGCAATGATCAAATTAAATATTAAAATACAAGCATTAAGCATTTCATCGTAATATATATAATTAAATAGGTAGGTGCATAGCGGAATGGATGAAAATGAATAGATGGTACAAATTAAGTAACATATATCCAACCATCTCCGTCCTTGTCAAAGAGGCTGAAAGCCTCACTGAATTCTTTGATCTGAGTGTTTGTTAGCTGATTCGCCATTCTTTCACTCAGAATGAGAAAGAGGGAGAGGGGGGAGGAATCAAACAAAATGTGTTGAGAGAGAAAGGAAAACCCTGAGTTCTGTCAGAGAAAAATAAAGGGGGGAGGGATGTTTATAGAGGGAGCTTACCAAAGCCAAGGTTGGGTATCGGATGCAGTCCCATTCCCAAAGGCGAAAATTCTTTACTTACTTCACCTTTTCCATCAATTATTCCCTCTCCATTTCTCTGCTTTCCTCTTCTTTTTTCTCCTTTTTTTTTTTCTTCTTTTTGGTGCATGGAGTAAAAGTTATTCTCAGGCTTTATTAGTTTGATGGAGAAGACATATTTTAATAATTATGAAGCTCACCACATAATTATTTAGTCTCCACCTTATTTTTCAAAAATGTTTGATATCATCACTGAGCTAGGTTCTGTCAAGACCCCTTGTTTGGCCTGAGAAATGCCATTCAGAGAACTCACAACCTCTTCTCCATGCTGTTTGACCAAATCATTTTCAACGGACAGCTCATTCTCTGATTTCCTCAACTTTATTATTGAAATCCATAGATTATGTAGGCTGAGGAGTGTTACAAAATTCATGTATGGCCAAATTTATCATCTGATGTATTTGCTCTCAGCATTATATTCTGAAGTTGTTCCTAATTATCAAGCCTGGGCCTTTGAGCAGACACCATCTTTGTATGATTTCACTTGTGTTATAAGTCCTCAAATTCACTCTGGTTATACAAAAAAGGATCAATTCCACTACTTCTCAAGATTTCATCCTCAGCCCTTTTGACATAATTACCATCTGAATCTTGAAAATTAGTAAACATAGGACCAAACCCAATTGCCCAATTTTCAGCAAAAACCCCATAATTAGAACTAAAAAAATTACTCTGAATTACATTGTCATTATCAGAGTTATTTTGAAAACTCTGGACAAAACTATGAACTGGGATTGAAAATCAGAACTAGGGTAATAAATTAAATTACCGATTTGTTGTGACGCACCTGTTGTTGTCCAGTGAGAATTTTTTCTGCAACTCGTGGATCGTCCGAAATGAGCTGAAATACAGAGATTTGTCCTTGTAGGGAGGGACAAGGATGTTGAATATGGGAGAAGAAGAGGGAATTTGGAGTTGGATCTGTAGAATTTGTTTCCCCAATCTTGTGATACGAAATTTGGGAGTAAAAATTGAAACCCCAGAGAAAATTTGTGAGCTGCTTGTGGTTGCGGGGTTGAGAAGTTCCATGGACGAGGACGGAGCTCACCAGAGAGACGCTTAAACCCCGACACTAATCCCAGGCAAGAGGGATTTGAAAGTAAAAAGGAAAGACGAGGAAAAGAGAAAGAGAAACGAGAGGGAAAGAAAATAAAATGGGGAGGGAAATAAAGAAAACAAACAGTTTCGGAAATGTTTTTCAAATTTTGGATCTTGTGCAGGGTTTTGGGTGGTCTTTCCAGTTTAGCACGTTGTGGTTGTAGTTTTAGAATTGTTGCCTTGACGATAGTAGACCTTTGAGTCACTCCTGTTGCTGCGTTTCTCCTCTCTACAAATCTAGAATTCTATTTTTCATTTTTCTTGTTTTGCTTCAAGATTTGTATGTTTTTTCTGACTTGACTTTTATGCCTTTATCGCAATTATGGCTTCAACTTCGGGACTTTGAAATGAATGACCAAAAATAAAATAAAAAATTATTAACAGAAAATAATATATACTCTTAATTTTAAACTATATAGAATAAGTTGAGAGAAGCAATTGTGAGAGAGTGCTCGACACTAAAATGGGTGTAAATATGGTTGGAGAGATGACTATTTTGTAATTGGTCTCTTTTATTTTATTTTTTTCACTTTAACAAAGGGTAATTCAAGAATATTATTATTTGACAGGTGAATTGATCAATTTTTATTATCACATATAGCACAATTATAAAGAATACAAGTTTATAAGAAAAACCCTCTCAATAAAAAAAAATCTTGGTTCTTAGCCTCAGCCATTATAAGTTCCACTAATTATATGTAAGTAGTTACACACTCAGCTGTCTCACACTCCGCACACACCATTGTACAAATTGAAATACTAATTTTCACAACCTCTACACACACACTACTTCAACACAGTGCTCACAAGCACTCCCCCTATCCTAAACACCCTTGCTTGGACCCTGCAAGCTCTCACAGCTCACAAATACAATAAGAAGTATGAATATCAACAATATTCAAGCATGCACAGAAGATAAGAGTGGTTGTGTAGCTTAAAACAATAATATGCACCTTTTAGAACACAATCTGCTGAAATTAGGGTTTGAGGGATAAAATAGGAAATTCGTGTCCCTAGAATTATGAGATCAATCCCACAGCCTTATATCACTGCTACGGACATACTCAGATGATAACAAGATAAGTATAACATGTGAATCACAATATAACATCAATAAGGCCTTGGCAACTTCAACAATGAAGAACATGGGTTTTGGTAGATCAAACCAACTATGACAAAAGGTATGTCCAAAAACCAACTTCAGCAACCTTGATTCACCAAAATAAACTTATTAATATGTAGATCAATCATAGTATAGCAAGATATAATCAATTCATATATGAACCACAAGGCTAAACCAAAAAACAACTCAAATTCAAGGCCTGGGATACAAAATTCATTTACAGCAAAGTAAACCTCAAAAACAAGTGCTAAATAGCCAAATTGTACTTGTATCAACCTTGACTTAGCACCTCAGCAACCTCAAGCTAAAGGTGAACCCCCAAACCAGCCCTTGCACCAGAAAACTTGACAGCATAAGTACTTTATGATGAACGCAGGAACAATGATCAATTCAGTGACATTTTTATAAGGATTTCAGGCTCAGATCATTAACAAGGACCTTAGAAATGTTGATTCATATGAAGCTCTCGAGATATACACAATAAAGGCTCGAATTAAGGTTTTACAAATGGCTTATTTTGCAGAAATGCTATAACAGTATATATATACTCATGCTCACTATCCAAGTCCTACTACAAGAAAGATATACACCTAGCACCTGTAACCAATCATTGTCCAGAGAATATTCTAACGGTCTCCGTGTGAATATACCATAATGCCCTTGCCAACTCAGCTGTTTTGTTTTCTGGTTTACCAGAAAATACAGCTCACATTTGCAAGGCAGTGTAAGCATTCCTATCCAAAACATGGAGATGAAGAAATACAAAGTAGTGCATATACTCTCACACTAGGACCACATAAACGTGTCACACACATGAGCACTAAGCAAAAAGACCAAAATGCCCTTGTAACAGCCACTTGTCATTTTCAGCATAAAATTGTTGTTGAGGCTGTATAAACTACAATGCTGCTTAGATAACATCTGTACAATGCAATGCAGTATTCTGAAAAAGTGTACAAAGTTATAATATAACTATGAAAGGACCATAGTACCCCTGAATAATCCTGTAGCCAATTTTCATATGCAGAACCTCTATTAATACAGAAAACTGGTAAATAACAATTGTATAATTGCAATGTACCATCTTAAATCGTAATGAAACTATACCATAAGATGATGGAACACTAAAATACTCCTAAGAGATAATATTAGCCACAGTGAACATCAATGGTGGTGATATAACCCCTTGGCAGCCTTGAGACACATGGATTTGACACTAAACAAGCAAAGTCAATTAGGTACTAGGACCAACAATTATATTCATGAAACCAACAATTTTCTTAATTGACTATTAAAAAGGTAATCAGTGTTACAAGATTTGTTTTTTAGAAGAAGTGAGAGTAATATTTGAAATTATTTGACATTATAGGGAATGTTCGTGTAATTATGATAAACATTAGGAAAAATTGATTGGTGTAATTTTACATTTATCCTTTCATGTAAAAAACATAGAGTCCACTCGTTCAAGTAAATAAGGGTGGTGGTACGATTAAATGTTTACTATTTGATTAGTTAGTAACCCTTTTATTAGAAAGACATCCCCAAATTTTCATCATTATTATTATTATCCAAGTCAAAAGGCTAAACTGAAATATTAAATATTATATGTACTTTACATGCCCATAAAAATAGGGTCAATATATGAAATGTGATCACACCGGACGCCCCTTTTTTGACCTTCCCATTCTTGCCATCATGTCCATTCTCCTCAGCAATCCTCCTTTGCCTTCTACAATAATTTAAAACGAATTAGTACAATGTAAATTATCTACCATCTTATTTTTCACTATAATTCAAAGATTAAAACAGAAATTTTAAAAAGAAGAAAAAAAAATCATCGAGCTAGAATGAAGAGAATCTAATATTATCATTCTCAAAATCATAATATATATCACCACAAATCAAATATAGTGAAAATCAACTTTTCCCAACTACTGCAACTATACATTGTTAATGTAACTTTCAACTTCTTCTTTTTTCAGTAAATTACTTTCAGCTTCTTCATATAGATTCCCTCATCCGTTAACCAAAAAACAAGCTCCATGTTGCCAAGCAGTTACTAGAATTTTTGGTATCAATAGACTATGAGAGAAAGTTTTGTGTGTATGTATCTCTCTAAAGACGATTCTTTTTACTTGTATTTTGGGTAGTGGGGATTGGAATTCATTGACCACCAAGTGATGTTTTGTTTTAGTGTTTTGGGATGATGCAAGTAGGGTTTTGGTGTTCATGAAAAAAAAAAAAAAGGAAGGAAGAAGGTGGTATGAAGAGTGGACAACATCTTTTAAGAAATGTGTCCAGGTTTCGCTGTTCGTGAATATATATATAAATATATATATATAAACCTACCTCAACTCGTTCTCATTGATTTCTCTGACATGTTCACGGTCATTCCTCTTTACATGTACCTCTCCACCAACTCTCTCCGCGCTTCCTGGCCCAAAAAAAAAACCCTTCTTCCATTTGCTTGCTTCCCATTTTCAATACTCCAATTTTTTCATCTTCAGTCATTTGCAGGCAAACAGTGACGGCGATTTGTATGGCAACCTCCAATACAGAGGCTAAGAATGCTTTCAGTTTGTTGCTAGCTATAGATTCATTAAGTAATTCGGTTTCAAAAAGTAAATGGTGTTTGGCAACTTTTTGATTGATCCCAAAAAAGAAATATAACTTTAGGAATCATCTATTTTCTTTTTCTTTTTTTAACACATAGAAAATCAATGTATATGTCCTCGTGTTAGGAAGGTAGCAGTTTTCCCATGCACAGCGACAATTATAGAGAAAATTAATGTAATTATGACAAACTTTAGAGGAAGTTGATTAGTGTAAATTTTCCATTTATCCTTTCATGTAAAAAAATAGAGTCCATTACTTACAAGTAAATGAGGGTGGTAATAAGATTAAATGTTTACTATAGTATTTGATTAGTTAGTACCCGTTGTATTTTTAGGAAAGTTTTTTTATAATTGGCTTACTCCTACTACAGACCAAAATCTAGAAAATTAATAAATCCCGTTTGCT